CAAATTGGATTATTATTCATTAAATTGGATTATTATCAAATTGGATTATTCATTAAATTGGATTATTATCAAATTGGATTATTATTCATCACCATGTTTTATATTAGGATTATTTTTTTATCAAATTGGATTATTATTCATTAATATTAGGTTTTTTATTATCAAATTGGATTATTATTCATTAATATTAGGTTTTTTTTATTTTTATTATTCATTAAATTGGATTATTATTCATTAAATTGGATTATTATCAAATTGGATTATTCATTAAATTGGATTATTATCAAATTGGATTATTATTCATCACCATGTTTTATATTAGGATTATTTTTTTATCAAATTGGATTATTATTCATTAATATTAGGTTTTATTATTCCATATTATTTGTATAATTACTTAAATTTTTACAATCATTTTCTTTACTTCGTATTTAATTCTTCTATAGAATAACTTTATTATTTAGGTTCTCTTATTTTATCAAAAAATAATTGTCTAGTTTTCATGAAAAATAAATATAGGTACGTTTAAGATGTCCAGTGGAATTACTAAACGTGATCCAGCTTGGGAACATGGAGACCCAATAGACGGAAACAAACATGGCACAATTTGCAAATATTGTGGTCGGGTAATGAAGAATGGCAGAGTGACACGACTTAAGTACCATCTTAGTGGATTAGATCCATCAAAAAATGTCCAACGATGCAATAATGTCCCCCCATAAGTGAAGGCATTCATCAGCACATTATTAAAAAATAAAAAACAGCAGAAGGAAAAGATAACACATGGAATGGAAAATATTCGAGCTGGGCTACGGGTAGAAGTCTATGGCCAAGCGGTTGACAGTGATGATGATGACGATGAGGACGAATGTGATGATGACATGGGACATGAAGAACGACGCAGTTTGAAACAAGCATTACGTGCCTCCAAACAGTCAGCATGGGAAAGAGAACACCTTCATAAAATTCCTAATAGAGCATAAGGTTCCGGGACAAGTGGTGGTGCAGAAATGAGACGGGGAGGCAGTCTTAGAGAATCACAACCAACACCACCAATAGCCCCAAGTTTATATAAGTCATCCAAAACACATCAAAAGAGTGTTTGGAGTTATTTCACTGGACGTAATGTGAAGAAGGGAATGGGGCGTCTAATTAGCAAGTTCTTTATCTATGAAAATGTCCCTGCTAAGAAAGCATCATCACATCATTTCAAAAATATGGTAGTGGGATGTCAACAGGCCGGTGTTGGAGTACAACCTCCCACTCCTATGAGATAAGAAACAAATATTTGGATATGGAGTATAAAGACATTGGCGAGTATGTTAACAAGTTGAGGTCAAAGTGGGAAACTAATGGTTGCACAATCATGTGTGACGGATGGACCGGCCCGACCAGATTGTCTATCATAAACTTCATGGTATACTCCAAGGGAAAGACAATTTTTTTGAAGTCTATTGATGCTTCAGACCATATAAAGAACTACAAGTATATTTACAAATTATTGAGGGATGTAATCATGGAGGTGGGAGAGCATAATATTGTCCAAGTCGTGATCGACAATGGTTCTGCATTTGTCAAAGCTAGAAAAAAGTTAATGAAGCATCATAATGTGTTTTGGACATCATGTGCAGCACATTGTATTGATCTCATGTTTGAGGCAATGGGGAAGAGAGAGAATGTTGCTACTGTAGTCAAAAGAGCTAGAACGATCACAAATTATATTTACAATCACGGTTGGTTGTTGGCAAAGATGCGTGAATTTTGCAAAGGAGAAATTATTTGTCCAGCTACCACTCGATTTGCCACCAACTATATTGCATTAGACAACCTACTTAAGAAGAAAGCAGGGTTGAAGCAACTATTCACTAGTGACGATTGGGCCAACCACAATTTCAGCCGCTCAAATGCAGGTCGTATGGTGGAAAGTATAGTGCTTAATCATGCTTTTTGGACTCAATCAGAACATGTGTGCCAAGTGTTTGAACCTCTTTACAAGGTTTTACGGATTGTTGACACAGAAGTGTATCCTACTATGGGGCAGTATATGAGTTGATGCGTGTAGTGAAGGATGAATTGGGAAGAAAACATGGTGCAAGGTGGGTCATAAAGATAATTGAAGACCGATGGTATAAAACATTATACCACGATTTGCATGCAGCAGGTATAAATTATGTCATAATTTGCAATTCATTTCTTTAGTTGCATAAGTATTATTTCTCTTATTAGAGTATGTGTTTCTTTGAACAACATATTATTTGAATCTTCGATACCAATACAGACCCGGTGTTGGAGATGATGGTACCCTTATACGTGCTGTATATAATGTATACTCTAAATTAGACCCTGCATCACCAGCAGTTGGCCAATTTGGAAATGAGGTACACAATTACTTAAATTATAATAATTACTTTGTTGGATTAAACTAACACGATTTATTGAATTCAGCTAACATGGTTTAAAGATGCAAGAAGAACTTTTGGAGAACCAACATCAATTGTTGCTCGAACAACAATGTCTCCTAGTGAGTGTAAACATATTTCACTATAAGTTTATAATAGAATTTGTTGGAGTTATTAGGCTTATCAACATTGTTTTTCATTGTAGCTGAATGGTGGATCATGTATGGGACCGATGCACCAACTGTGAGAAAGTTAGCAATCAAAGTATTATCACAAACAGCTTCCCCATCTGCTTGTGAAAGAAATTGGAGCACATTTGCACTCATACACACAAAGCAAAGAAATAGGTTGGCTCATAGTAGGTTGGAAAAATTAGTTTATTGCTACTACAACATAAAGCTTCAAATTCGAGATAAGGAAGCAGAAATAGATCATGTCGACCGTAGTGACCCACTAGATGTGTTTGATATTGTTGGTGAAGATGATGATACAGAGGGTAACCAACTTTATCAATGGATTAGACCTCTTCATTTAGATGATGATGAAGGCAACCCAGCTCCTAGAGTTGCTGAAGAAGCACGTAATGAAGGGATAAATGTAGAAAGAGTATTAGAGGAGGAGGTGGGATCTAGCAACGCTGACTTTTTGGAAGAACTTTTGCGCCCAAGACCAAGAAACACTGGAATTCCACCTTCTTCCAATCCTACACAACCACAACATCGTGTTGATACTAATGATAGCTCTAGTACAAGATCAGGAGACTCACCTACCACCGAAGGTGGGAATGATGAAGGATATAGTGGAGCTGGAGGTAGTGGTGGTGGATATGGAAACTATGTTGGAGCACCTCCCGGATTTATGAGCCGCTTCACTGGTAAGGGAAACTTCACGCATGCAACACAGGATGATGACCATGGCAGTAGGCGGGCAAGACCAGGAATTGGTGCCATAGGGAAAGACTATACTCGTAGAGAAAGAGGCAAGGGGATTTTGTCAAGTCAAGAAGATGACTCGTTATCTATAACTTCAGACTCTGTTGGATTGGGAAGTAGTAACTATGGTAATACTCATAACCAACCATTTCCCTACCCTTTATATCCCAATCATGTTGGGATGGAATCGAGCGACTCATGGAAACAATCCGAGACTCAATCTTCAAATGATTTTGCTTATGGACAAGGTCAACCAATCTCGGATCCATATGGGTGGCATGTTAACAATTACATGCAAAATTATTTTGGGGATTTATCATTTGATAACTACTCTTCACAATACACTCACTCTACACATAGAGATGATGAAGATAGTGAAAAATTTGAACCTCATAGGAACTCTATATGGTATTAAGTCACTCATGTATCTTACCATGCAATGTAAAAAGTGTAAAATATTGTACTAATTCATTATATATAAATGATTATGGTGTGTTTAGACTTCTTTCATTAATTACTACATATTTTCTACACTCACAATGTTTGTCAGCTCGCTATATAATCAACTTGATAATGTTAAATCCATCATGCAATGCATTTCCTTCCAATGTTTTGTGATAAACTAATAGATAATTGACTAAATAAACATCCTGCAAAGTTTCAATAAAAATTTCCAAGTTTTTCTACAATTTCCGTGGTTTCCATGTAATTTTTATCGATATCGATATTATCCCGATATTTCCATCGATATTTCCGTCGGACTACCGATATTTCCGATATTACCGATATTCAATACCTTGGTACGAACCAATGCGCTACCTTCATATCATTTCTGGAAAACGACTCTATGGCAAATTAACAACTGTCGTGCAATTGCTTTACAAAGACCGATACCAAGTGATCATGTTTAAGTGTCAATGGTTTGATACAAACCCAAATAGGCAGGGAAGTGTTAAAATCAATCCTGGCTTACTATCTGTGAACATTAACATAACTTAGTATGATGGCGACCCTTACATTTTGGCAAACATGGCAAAACAAATTGTGTATCTAGATGAACTGAATACGACGTCGACAATGTCACTGACTAACGTTTGGAATCTTCAATGGAAAAGGATGCGGAAACACTTCGAGATACAAATCTTATCCAAGAACCGTCTCAGGTACGAGGAGTGTCTTCAATCAAAATATTGATTCAGTTAATTACAATCGGCCTCGGTGATCTTCCGCGATACAATGTTGCAGTGGACCCGAATGATGACAGTGACGTAGTTATGGAGGAGGAAGATTGGGAGACCGAAAGTGATGATAGCGATGATAGCAAAAGTTATTATAGTTCAAATGATGAATAATGCAATTTATTTACGACTTGCCATGTAAAATATAGTAAATGAAATTTTTTGTAATTTAATTATCTTATGTCATAAATAATTTGGTTTTATTTGAATAAACAATAATTGTAAAAAATTTACCCAAGTAAATTAAATTTTCAACTCATTACACAACAAAGAAAATATTATTCGTCGCGCTAATTGCATTTGCACGACAATTAATTAGCATTCATCACGCAATGAGCTGAAATTTGGACACACATGAAAATAATTTGGTGAAAATTTGAATTTATTGCGTGACAAATATCTTGTATTTGTCGCGCAAGAAAGTTGGGATTAAACTAAATTTGCAGACACTTTTCCCCTCACCTCTTCGAATTTGGCAAACTCCCTCTAACACACCCTCCCTCTCTGTCACCCTATCCCCTTCTCGCCCCCTCACAATCTCTCTTCCTCCTCCAACACACCCTCACCCTACCTCTCGGCCTCGTACCCTCTCCCCCTCTCGCCCCCTAGCTGCTAACAAGGTAAATATTTCAAATTTTATTAATTTATTTTGATTTTCGTTTCCAATTTTTCAGATTTTAGGGTTTACAATTTTTCATATTTTAGGGGATTCGGTGGTCCTAACAATCCCACCCAATCCGTATAATTTTGTTACATGGGTGAAGAATTATGGGATTAATTGAATGGGGTGGGGTGAAGGTAGGAAGGATATGGAAACTCTTGATAAGATTGAGAACTGAGAATTGCCTTTAATGACTCTCTCCTTCTCTGTTTTTGGATATCATCAAACTCCATTTTGGCTTTTGTCAAAACCGCATTGCTATGAGCATGAACACCATTTTGACTTTCTCTTCAATTGCCCTGACTATTGAACTGTTGGGATATCTTGGGAGGGTATTATGCTATATACAATTTTTTATCATTTATTTGTCAAGAGTCTATAGATTGAACATTGGGTCCTCAATGCGCTTTGATTTCTCCATCATTGCAATTATGATCTAACGACTAGAAGTATCCTAGAATTTTTACTAAATCTGTTTTGGGTGCATGTTCAAAATGCAATTTCAGTGTGGTGACTGAAGCTTGGGTTCACACGAAAATGTCCGTTGTTTTTGTTTGCATTGCAAAGTTTGGATGGCAGTTTAAAAGATGCTTCAACCTATTTTATCGTATTGAATAATGTTTAGGTTAAATGTTGAACGAATTTGGCTTGGGATGAATCTATATTACTAGTAAAGAAAATGGATGAGTTAGTTTCGTGATCAGGGGGATGTGTGTTGCTTACCTATACATAGGGGATGTGTTGCTTACCTATACGTAGGGGTAAGGGTGGGCATAGATGCGAATGAAGTTGGTTTTGAAGGTGCTTTTCACTTGTGAGTTGTGTATAATTCCATGGATTATCTTTTATTCTATCAAATTTTAATTAATCTTGGTAGAAAAGAACAACAATAGAATGTGGCTAAAATTCAGTAACAGGTTTTCTATCTTGGTCTTTTTATATAAATTTTATCTTAGGAGTTCTCAGTTTTTTTTTTTTTTTTTTTTTTGAGTGTCAGATTCCTGAGTCTCATACCAACTTAATGAACTCAATCAATATTTTGGTCATCTAAACAAATTTAAAGAAAAATATGCACTACAGAAAACTATCCAGAATCCAGATTCAAGTAGTGCAACAAGCGAATTTTATTTTGTCTCCTAGTTCCATATATATTTTTGTTTTCTTGTTGTTTAATTGAATTTGGAAATGCATATAGTTAGGTGGATCGGTTTTTTGTTTCTCCTTTAATGAAATGCATATAGGTAAGTGGATTGCTTTTTGTTCCTCCTTTAATGAAATGCATATAGGTGTAGATGCTTTTATGGTTTAATTCTCTGTTTTATGTTTAACGGTATATATATGGTTCAAATGCTTGATTTAGTTATGTGTGGGGTTGGTGTGAGTGATATGCCACATAATTTGGCATGTGATGGGATTCATGGATACTGACTGAATTTTTTTTTCTAGTTGTGCAGATGTCAAACCTTATTAGAAGTCGTAAGGCAGTGACGACTGCACCCCGTTCGCCTCTCCCAGCTCATCTGTCAGCTGCCACTACTCCTGCACAAATAGACCATTTGCCGGTTAGTCCCGGGGTCTCCCAGGCACCGACGTCATCAGCCTCATCCGTGGCGTTACCTGTTAGCACCAGGCGTGGTCATCGTCGCCCCTGCATGCCCGACACACCATCAACATCCACTACTCATGTGTCGAGGTCACATCAAGGTAAATATTTCCTTGAACTCCAGCTGCTTTGGACCAAAACGTGGGCGTAAAGTTGAACCTGCCATTCTAGTTTTTCTACTAATCTTTGTTCAAATCTAATGTTTGTTCATAGTGAAAATATTTATTTGTTTGTCATATGCAAACAAATAAATATTTTGTTCAAATCTAGAGTTTCTTTTTAATACAAATAGCACTGCTTTGGGTTTTGGTAAAATTTTTGTTCAAATTTTCTACTTAATTCCAAGTTTTACTAGTTTAAGTTTGTTCAAAATTTTGACCTCCAGCTACTTTAAGTTCGATCTTTAGTTATTTAGGTAAGTAGAAAGAAAATGTGTAAAGCGGACATATCATTGTGCTTTTCAAATGCTTATGCTTCCTTGAACTGAAAGTAATTGTTGTTTACTTATGCAAATCGCAGAGTTGGATTGTATTTACATTTTGTAATAGTGCATATAATGTTGGCAAAAGTACAAACCTTATAAGGAATACCAAATATGAAATATGATAACAATTTGGTTAACTTAGTTTTGTTATTTTCGGTTCAGTTTGTTAAGTTATGTCATTTAAGGATTAAACAGTTATTATATATATTGTTTATTGTTGTCATCGTTCTGAACCTTTTATTAAACAGTTGTGATCATTTTATTGGATACATATATTGTTTATGTTATTTTCAAGTTTTTGGGAAATGTTTTAATAATAGGGAGGTTATGCCAAAATTTTAGTAGGATTTATTATTAGTTTTGGATTAACGTTAATTTTATATTTCTTTGCAGCCAAGAAGAACACCGGGGACCTTGTTGCCAGTTAAAAACGGCGAAGATCACCCGGGCGAACAACGGCCATATCAATATCAGATACGACGAGCAACATCGGACTACAACAACGGCGGAGTAGCATAGCGCATTGGCCCACGACATTGGTCACGTCATTTAGACATATTGCCCTATGAAATGGAAGTCTTGGAATGTGATGTCAGATGAGGTGAGGATGCAGGTGCGGTCACAATTGTCGGTAAGTATCCTACCTTTTAATTGTTTTTCGTTCAAATTATATACATGTATATTACTTAATGTACGTAATTAATTTGTTACATTGCAAACGAACTGCAGTTTAAAGGACATCAATGACGAGTTGTTGGCATACATCAACATGCTCTTCGTTGAACGGTACAAGCAGTGGAAGAGCGACATGCATCAATATTTTCAGACATTTGATAATTCACAAGTCGCTCTTGAGGAGGGTTGCCCATAGGAGTTTAAGGGTTGGGAGGATAATTGGGCATGGCTCTGCGGTCATTTTCAGGAGCTCGGCGATGTGTTTTTTATATTAAGCTTAAAATTATTATACGTGTTTTACTAATGTTTATTGATTTTTTTATATTTCATTTTAGTTTGAACTAATACGTTTATTTTTTGTATAACAGAAGAAGGTGAAAGCTAACAAGAGCAATAGGGACAAAAAGACTCTTCTCCACCATTCCGGTTCGACACCCTTCTCATATAGGATGGAGGCATGGCAGCGGGTAATAATAAAAGTTTTTTATATTCAATTTTTAATATGTCATTAATATTTATTTTTTTCGTACTAACATTTTTCTTCTCTTGTTCTATTCAAGGGAGTTCAAAATTCCCAGAGATCGATGTCTTTAGCGACGTTTATGTTCGACCCGGGGATGAGTTGACCGAGTCCCTTCATGTAAGTATTCTTTAATTTTAATTATTATCTTACGCATTCAAGTTTCATGGTTATTATATGAATGTTTTAATTAATATTTTATGTTATATTACACAAGCGACGATGATGAAGAAGAGGCAGTTGGTTCTTCAGGAGTTCGCCTCCCAACTTCCTCCGATACTCCACTCGAGTCTGTGGATCCCCCAAAGGATGCAGGGTTTCAAATCCTTACGGAGACCTTGGATCAGACTCTCGGGCGAAGGCTAGGGACATATTGTAGGGGGATAGGGAATGCTAGGTGGCAGAAACTTAGAGCCCTTTCATCATCGCAATCAAACAATCAGGCGACAGCTTTGACAGCAGAGGTGGCCAGCCTTAGGACAAAACTCACCTCGTATAGGAGCCAAATGTCACAGCTTGTACAGGCCCTCAGTCAATCCGGCATTCGTCTCCCGAATTTGCATCCCCCATCGACCTCCGAGCCCTTCCAACCCAAGCATGGCCACACCTATGCCCCTTCGACCTCTGCCCCTATTGACAACCTTGAGACCTTCCAGCCGCCTTTGTAAGACGACCACATAGATTATGCCACATTATGTTCTTAGTTTTTTACTTCCTTACTTTTTAAACATTTTTCTTGTACATAGCACATACATTTATATTACTTTTTAAATATATTATTTTTCTCTTCATTACATTTCTTAATTGCAATTTAATTATATTACCAAAAAAAACAATTTACTTTTATTACGAAATCCTTCTTCCCACAAAACTCAAGCGCTAAACAAGGTTTCGTCGCACAATAATCAATTGTCGTCACGCAAAGTTTAGAGAGATAAACAATAGTCGTCCCACGTATGTATCTTTTGTGCGACAAAAACATTCGTTCCTAAACATTTTGTGTGACGAAGGGTAAACCGTCGCACCGTGTTTTTGTGACCAATGATGATTTTCGTCGCGCAAAGTCTTTCTTCACGATCTTTGTGCGACGGATTCTGTGCGACGGCGGAAATGCACTTTGCGCGACCAACTTTTGTTCGTCGCACAAATAGTAAAACATAGTAGTGATTACAGCTAGGGTTTTCAAAGTTTATTTACTTGTTTTCACGACTACGTGCTAAAGTGTGAATCCAAATCTTGATCTGAATAGGTTTTCAAAGTCTAATTTTTTTTTTAACTTATCTTCCTTTTTTAATTTTCCAGATTTTTTTTACTTTTAACTTTATCTTTAATATTATTTAAAATCCACATAAGCATCTATATCATTTAATGAATAAATTAGAACCCTTGGATGTTATCAAATCTAAAGGCTATAAAGAACTGTAAAAATATTTGTAAAAATGTTTGTCCCTTGATCCAATCCCATATATATATATATATATATATGTTCACTTAGGGTGGTGCTATCCACACATCCCTCACAATTTCTAATCGTCGGATTAAATGAATTGAGGAAAACCAAATAACAGAAATTAACAAAGACTGTGTGGGAGGTAAAAATCACCAATACATATCATTTACGTTTTATTATTATAATCAATTATAAAAAAAATTAAGATTCTACCATAAAACAAATTAACAATATAGGAAGTAACTCAATTACTTATAAGAATACACATATCCCTTTTCCTATCAACAATAGATTCATTCTTACCACCTCACATATAAACTAATGACAAAGTCAGTAAAACCCTTCCCACTAGGCATAGACATTATCATCGTCTACAGTCGATAAATAATGCATAATTTCATTTGTTTTATTAGTTACCTAGAAAAAGTTTGGCAAGACATTTAGCAATTTAGTTGGTACTTATCTGAAGTCCCCGGCCCATTTCCTCAATAGTCTCAATTAGCCAAGTATACATTTTTAGCATAGTCCATCTTGGTTGACCATTCCCCATCTTCTTAATCATAAAGACAATACTTAGTTGTTAATCTGTCAAATTAAGCTCATTTTATAGAATGAGGATCCTCTCCTGATCTCTTTGTGAAGATCCTGGAGATCCTCAAATCGTGTCCGTTCATCGTACATCGTGTGGTCAAAAATCATTTTAAATATTTTTATTTTGAATTAAATATGAATAGTACCTGACAAAAACTGCCCGCATGATATAAACAGGCACAATTTGAGAATTCTTAGAATTCTCATAAAAAAGATCCAGAAAGGATCCTCCTGGCATTTAATAAATCTAAACAAACAAAAAAATCTTTAATTATACGTAACCAACTACAAACCCTAATGTCTTGCCTCATGTATTTCAACACTGGATCTATGCCAAGTGGCTGGTCCAATATAATATTCTGGTATAGATGTTCTCTCTCATTCACGTCTCTCCTACTTGAACGATTACAATTAAGCTACGTCAATATCTTATATTGATTTTTATGGAGACAATACGATAAAAAACAAAGTGTAAGAGGAGGAAAGGAAATGAGATGGAAATAAAAGGGGAGAGGATTCTACTCCTTTTGATACAGCAAGCCACACCTAGCCCACATGAACCTTAACGTGCCGTTTGGGATCTAGTTGTTCCAATTTAGCAGACTCCAAACCCACTTTTTATCTTAATCCAGATTCTCCTTGGATCCTTTTGTGAAGATCCTGGAGATCCGTGAATCATATCCATTCATCGTATATTATGCAGTCATTTTAAATATTTTTATTTAAAATTAAATACAAACAATACCTGAAAAAACTTGGCTGCACAATATAAGATAAATGGATATAATTTATGAATCCCAAAATCCTCACCAAAAGAATCCGCAGTGGATCTTGTTGGTTTTTATCTTTTTTTTTTGGTTTTTGGTCAACACTTTTTGTCCTTAATTGGACCACGTGTTCATATTTTCTCTAATCATTTTTATATTAGGGTTACTACGTGTTTAGACTAAAATCAATATATCTTATTATTTTAGAACAAACTCAAACTTCGGCAAAGTTGCAGAGAGTAAGACCTAGACAAATTAGGGCGGCAATTGAAAATTTTGACATAGTCAAATCAATGTCTCTTTCGAACACACTAGACATTGTCTACATTCAAATGCATGCTTTCTTCAATCCAACTGGCGCATATGTCATGACTCATGCGCCCTCTTCTTTTTATACATTCCTCCACCCTTACCAATCAAAATATCAGTCTGCTTCTTCTCTCTCTTCCTATCTGTGTACTGAAAAAATCAAATGTTTGGTCGCATGGGTTGCTTCAATCTTTTACTAGTTTGGTCACTTAGCCTCAGTTTGTGTCTACTTCTTTGTCCCACATCGGCGCAGCTCAAAACAAATTACTATGCCAACATCTGCCCCGACGTAGAAAAAATTGTAAAAAATGCTGTCAATAATAAATTCCAGCAAACATTCGTCACTGTTCAGGCAACACTCACGTCTCTTTTTCCACGATTGCTTTGTCCATGTAATCACTTAAACGCTATCTAAACCCTAAAGTCGAGAGATTAACAAGTTTTCTACATGGGTTTCGAAATTTTGATCAAAATCTGAGCTTTGTTTTGTTGTGTTGTGAAATAAATGGTAGGGATGTGATGCTTCCGTTATAGTTGCTTCCACTGCAAGCAACAAGGCAGAAAAGGACCATCCTGATAATCTATCATTAGCCGGAGATGGGTTTGATACGGTGATCAAAGCCAAAGCAGCCGTTGATGCAGTTCCTCAATGCAAAAACAAAGTTTCATGCGCTGATATTCTTGCCTTGGCCACCAGAGATGTCATTGGTTTGGTAATCTGTTCATCACTAGGACTTTGTTTGAATTAGATTTTCTACTTTCTAATATCGGAAACGTATAGTTCATATTCAAAGTCTGTCAATATAAAGAGCATTACTCTATTACTATTGTGCCATGCATTTGTGAGAAGTTGTGATAATCGAGCCATGCATTTGTGAGAAGTTGTGATAATCGAGTTGACGCATTTGAAGTTATTACAATCTTTTTAGGGTAAGGTTAATTACAATTAATTGTGTTAATTAAGTTCAGGTTGGTGGACCTTCATATTCGGTTGAGTTAGGAAGATTGGATGGACTAACCTCAACTTCTACAAGTGTAGATGGGAAGCTGCCCAAGCCAACATTCAATTTGAACCAGCTCACTTCCATGTTTGCTTCCAATGGGTTGTCCCAGGTTGACATGGTTGCTCTTTCAGGTAAGATGGGTTGTATGTGCTATTTTCTCGTCAATGGGACACATCATACATTAAAACCTAAGACCTATGCTAGCGATAGTCATCTACTTACTTCGATAGCTAACAGTCACCCACATGCTTTTAAACTACCGTCGTTAATTAGCCTTTTCTAAACATACACAATATTTGCAATATTAAGGCTTGATTGTGAGTTTTTAGATAATTAAAAGTGCTTTCAAAAAAATTTTCTTTCAAGAAACATTGTTTCCAACCCAAAAAGAGGTCGCACTTGGTGTGATGGCAAGTGCCTTCGCCCATGAGCGGTAGGTCTCGGGTTCGAGACTTGGGAGCAGCCTCTCCATAAATGGGGGTAAGGCTAGCCGACATTCACCTCTCCCAGACCCTGCGTAAAGCGGGAGCCTTGTGCACTGGGTACGACTTTTTAGTGTGTATTAAAATGATATTGAGAAATGCTAAGGAGACTCTCCATGAACTCTCTGCCATGTTTATAGCAAAATGTTTTATAATGTTAACAAAACATTAATGTTAAACTGTGAGGTGACAGAAAATTCATAGAGAGCCATACTTTGAGAGTCTCCTTAGCATTTCTCATTGATATTAGAGAACCATATTTTGTGATTCTTGAATGAGTACTTCATCAATTAATTCTCCGTCAAACATTGTTGAAAACAATCGATTATGTAAATTCTTGCATAAATCAAGTGTATAGCTGTATATACATTATACATCAATACGAGAATATTCCACGAGATACAAATTTTAATTATTGCGTGATTTACACATGATATGCTATAATATGCAGCATTATGATTCATTGACATGAACTAATTAAAGGCACTACACTAATAACTCTGTTTAATCTGCAGGGGCACACATCCTAGGGTTCTCTCATTGCAACCAGTTTTCAAATCGCATTTACAGTAATCCAGTGGACCCCACGCTGAACAAAACGTATGCAACGCAGCTCCAACAAATGTGTCCCCAAAATGTGGACCCCGACATAGCCATCAACATGGACCCAACCTCGCCCAGGGAGTTTGACAATGCATACTTTCAGAATCTTATAGAAGGGAAGGGGTTATTTACCTCGGACCAGGTCCTTTTTACGGACAGCAGGTCCCGGCCCACGGTAAGAACATGGGCCAAAGATAAGACGGCTTTTAACCAGGCCTTTATTAACGCTATGACCAAGCTGGGTCGGGTGGGAATCAAGACCGGCAATAATGGCAATATTCGTCGTGATTGCGGTATTTTAAATTGAGGGGGAAAAAAGGGGGTTATAAAAAGGAAGCAGGTTAAACTAAATGTAGACCAAATTCAGCTTCAGTTCATCGGTTTTTTTTTGGGACAAAAAATGGAAAGAAACAAAAAAGAAGAGAAAGAGAAAGAAGGGAAAAAGAAGAAGTTGAAAATAGGAGAGATTTAACTCTTACAGTGAGGTTTGTAACTTCAATAATCGAAATTGTTAAGTTAGCGGTATATGAAATAATGGACAGGATGACATTTTGTCAATCTGTCAAGTGAAACAACATCAGGCCCAAT